CTGAAACATGATAGATATGTTTCATCTCTGAAAAATGTATCTACAAGGGAGCTCTGCAGTCGCTGACATCTCAAATGAGCCAGACATGCAGGAGATTGGAGATAGCAGAGCTTGAGGTTAGAGCAGGTTTATCTTTCAGACAAAATGTTTCATTTACAAATTAAAACCACTTATTGTCTGGAGGTTTTTTCCTCTGAGAAGGATGCATATTGTAACAGCCAGGTAACATAATAAATAAAAAACAAACCACCAAACAGGCCAAGTTAATTAGGGGAGTTAGTCATGACTATGTTCCTGTTGCTTTTTACTCTCAGACACGAGACTGACACACAAATTCCTAAAGCATATTAGGAACTGGTCTGCATTGGAATTGCAAAACTGGATTTTGTTGGAAACACTGCTTTGGGTGATAGATAGTTCCAAGGTGAAATGGTTCATGGAAATAGCTCTTTCCTCTTATTTCTGATGAAATGTAGGTGGGTTTCAGCCTAATTGGAAATGCACCAGCTCCCATGATAGACCTAAGGACTCCTGTGTTCCAGCTTTCCTGACTGAGAAGTTATTGGTAGAAATACTGGAATATTATCAGTGGCATTTGGAATCGGTGTCCTAAACTTGATGGCAGGGAGTCTGGGATCTCTTTGTGGCTATTGTGGTGTGTGGATAGTTCTTTTGCAGACAGGGACATCAGTGCCTGGAACACCTGCTGCAATCAACACTGTGTTCGGAAATTGGCCCTCCAGATTTAATTTCCATTCCTTTTTCTTTTTACAGTGAAATGTTTTGTTTAACTTGTCTTTCTAGGTTTTGGAATAGAAAGAAGAAGATGAAATCCTAAAGCAGAGCTGCAGTGTCCCACAGTGGCATGCATTTTATTTTATAGCCCTCAAGATGGCTGTGAAATGGTGAGCATTTCAAGCAGTTCAAGGGTGTGTTGCTGTCTGCTGCCCTTGCTGCAGCATTGTCCCTGCACATTTCCTTTTACAGCGTTCCCGTGTGTTTGGTTTCCCTGCAGATTGTGCCTTGTGCCTGTCGCCTGAGCACCCTGGGGGATGCTCAGCAATGGCCTGGAAAACACCACACATTAGGGCACAAATGTGAGCATATGCAGAGTGTGTGTGCAACAAACACACAGCAGTGCCCCCGGGGCATTTGCCCAAAATTGATCACATGAACGGGGATGATACCATCAGGCCCCATCTGATGGTGCTGATGTGTGAGGTGGCCATCAGTCAGACTAAGCAGCAACCAGGGAATTGTGCATGACTTTTGGCACAAAGGAGTCACACAGAAGAGATATGAAAGGCATGTAAAAAAGTTGTGACAGAGCTGGGTTTGACACAGCCAGAAGCTGCCCCACCAGCACCAGCAGCTCTGCCCAGGCCACACAGGCACCATTCCTGAGGGTACTGCAGGTGCCCCTGTCCAGTTGGACAGGACAGCAGCACTCTGGACAATGCATACTTGCAGCATGCAAGCCTGTAAATGTGGAGTGCTGGCATTTATGCATTTATTAGCAGTTCCTTATGTGCTGAAAACTGTGGATATTACTGATGTCATCCTAATTTTACAAGAGACTGTCAGGAGGCTTTGCCTCAGTGTGTGCCTGGCTGGACCTCGTGCTTTGAAGGCCCACAGGCAGCTGGAGAGCAGTAGCTGCACTCCTGGAGTGTTTCAGCTTTCATTTCATCCAGATGGAATCAGTTCCACACAGAAAGAACTCAGCGCTCCAAAACTGTTCCCAAAGCATGGAAAACAGGCAAATGGAAGTGTTGCTGACTCACCCAGCAGAGCGCTAGGGCAGTGTGTCCCCAGCTGAGCACAATGTGTTCCCATCACATGGATGTCTTGCCACCAGGTCAGAAGCACAAATGACCTGCAGCAGCGGGGCATTGAAAACCCCAGTGCTGAGCTGCCTGAAAGCAGCACAGCTTTTCAGTGGTGTGTCTGACTCTCACACCCGTGTTTCACTGGCAAAATGAATAATGATGTCATGTTTTCATTCTGTTCTGCAATAACAATACCGAATAAACTTGATGGGTATTAAAATTTATTAGAATTTTATCTATTATTTTTTAAGCTAAAAGCAGTCCTATTTTTAATTGTAGATAATTCAAATCTCAAAAGGCAGGGAGGAGAATCTCTTGGCTACAAAATATGGCAATCTCTTACTGAGACATTGTCACGACTGTCGCCCCCCAAAAAAATCTTTTTTATGTTTTTTTGAGATAATAAGGTATGTCAAGTTATCCTATCTTTGTGCAACAAATGAGCTATTGCAGTTCTGCACTACAGTCAAACCTGTCAGCTGGTAAAATGAAATATTTCTATTTTTTTTGGTTTACAGTCTCAAGAGACTTTCCTTTGAAGCAAGCAAACTCCACCACCTGCAAGCTGTCAGGTGTGCCATTAGTCAAAGGGCTTTTGGCAAGTTGTGCAGCATCCCTCTCAAAAGCACATGAAAAGGAGTGGAGGTTGATCATCTATTGGTTATAAAAGGAAAATAGGAGAAGGGAATTTCTTGATCATGTTGAAGTTCTGCAAACAAAATGTGTCATTCTCTTTAACAAGGACTTACATTTGTCCCCAGGCTGTCAGCAGGCTGGCCAGACTGCTGAGTCAGATCAGATGTCATCTCAAATGATCAAAAGTTGTGTTCGTTCACGCTCACTGCTCTTGGTTTCCCTTTGCAATGCTCTCTAAGTGTTGTTTGCACAAAATTTTGCTTGGGAATTGTTTTAGTGAGCAAATGGGAAAGTGTATGTTCTTTACAAGACGGCTCAATGTCCAGCACATAAGTACTGCACAGCAGTAAATTAGAATAGAATAAGCACAGCATGTTTAGGAAGCACACATGTCTCCCCTGTCCCTGTTAGGTAGCACATGTATCTCTGCTGTGGAGGAAATGTGCTTCCAGCTCGCAGAAACACCTCCTCTTGTCACATTTTGTCTAAATTATTTCATTCATTTTTTGAACCAAGCCAACAAGGTTACAGAATATTGAGTTTTCCTGAATCTTTAGGTTGTTAAATATTTCACTTGTGTCCTAAGTGATGGATTTGTTTCTCACCTCCTACTTACCTCCCCTGCATTCCCCAAAACATGATGAAATTTATGACCTGAACATTTAGAGAGATTAAAGGAAATATCTCCTTCTGTTTGACATTATTAACCTCTATCTTCAGCAGCAGAAGACAACATTACTTCAAGCACTACAGGTGTACTTTGAAAAGAGCAGAACAATTTAAATGCCTAGTAGCTTCACAAATAAATGCAATTTATTGAGAGTAGTCTGTCATTATACTTTTAAATGCTGCATGGCTGTATTGGAAGAGAAGAAGCAATAGAGTTTCCTCTAGAGAGAGAACTGCCCAACATATCAGTGATTTTTCTATTATACTTTCTCCAGAGTATAATTGTCAATGTTGATAGCTTGAAGCTCAGTTTATTGAAAGAATAATCTGAAATGTAAGGAAAACCAGTTCTGCTTTTCATGGCAACTTGAAACCATAATGAGATGCTTCTGACCTATGATGCACCTGTGTGTGCCTTTTCTGGCCTCCATGCCTGAGAATGATGAGTAAGAGCCTCAATAAACTGCTTGGAGTCTGTGGCTGTTTGCATGAGGGGTTACTTCTGTACTGTAGCTATGAGTCTGGCAGCTTAGAATTCAGGTAGGCTGCACTGCTTATCATCCTCTTGATTCTCTGTGCCTTTTGCCTCCCTCCAAGAGCTCCACAATAACCCTCGGTGTGCAGATGTGAGGATATTTTACAGTGTTTTGTATTCCTGGGGAAATGTGAGTGCTAGGTCAAATGATGCTTTCAGCTCCCTCTGGCTAGATATATTGATTGAAGTGTAGTCCACTAATATAATAATTATGAATTCATGACCCAATGTTTTGCTTTCCTGTACAGAACAGTTACTGTTTCATAATGGCTTTTGTTGTTTTCCAAGCACATTTAAAACCCTTTGCACTATCTACTAGAATGTATGACCTTCTTTGGCTCTGAGTTCAGATAAATGATATAATCAAACATTTCTACCCCAATTCTCCAAAACTGGTAAGAGCTGAATCAACCAAGCAATGACAACAGAAATGCCAAATAAACTAAGGACCCAGGATGACCTTACACAAAACTGAAGCTGATCTGTTTAATCCAGGATAACAAAAAAACTTTGTCAACTTTATTTTTGGGAGCTAGAAGAGACTGCTGTTTTACCATGCTCGGGTGGCGAGGTATGCAAGGATGTGCTTCCAAGAGAATGACCAAATTTGGTAGGAAAAGAGGGCTGAATTGCCCACCCCTACTGGCCACAATAGCTGGTGATAACATATCCAAGAAAGGGGAAACTGAAAAAGATGAAAGCATCTTTTCTGAAGATTAGAACGCACTGGTGGCAGACTGTTAAATATGTCTGTAGAGATTTGGCCTTCACCAAGAGAAGGCCACCCACTCTCCCAGGTTCCCTCATCTTTATCAGCCTAGAGGGAAGGAGGAGCAGGTGGGCTTCTGCTTGCCCTGGCAGCCAGCAGGGAGGAGCACCTGTAGGTGGAGGCCACCTCACATGGCTGAGCCTCCTCTGCAGCTGGCAGGTCCAGCACTGAGGGGCCCTTTGTGAAGCACGACGGCAGCTGAGCACTTTGCTTGCCGCAATCTTGCAGCCCAAGCAGGAAAGGTGTGATCAAAAGTACAGAGCAGGAGTCAGAATTGGTGTTCTTCTCCATGCAGAACAATAGGGAAAATGGTTTCCAAAACCAGGCAGCCAGCTTCTCTTCTGACAGTGGAAACAGGAGATCGTTTAGCCTTCAGCCTGCTGTGCCTGATGTGTGCCCAGTGTGCGCCACACCTGCATCGCTGCACCCTAAGGGGTCACTGGAATGAAGGTGAGACTCAGAAACACTAATAATTTTTGCAGGCAAATGAGCTAACAAGAAATTTCTCCATCTGCAATGCAGAAATGTTTTTCTCTTTTTTTTTTCACTTGCTCAACAAGCCAGCAGTATAAAATAACTTTGGAAGAACATGTTGTTATCATTTCTGCACAGCTGTAGTTTAAAGGAGAGAAAACTCCTAGCTTTCAAAACTGGCAGTCCATGATATGGTGGAGGAGCCCATTGAAGAAGGTGCACATCCTGGTGTGGTCTCTACCCTGACCTCATGAAAAATCCTTGCATTGCAAGTGAATCCAAGAACTGACAACAGTTTCACTGAGCTGGACTAGAAAGGACCGACTGTGTCACAATAGCTGCTATGCACAAGTTTCTTACACTGGTAAGTGTCAGGTCTTTGGGATGGAAAGAATTGATTGTTTTTTCAAAAGAGGGGAGCAGAACAGCTTTACATTTTCATATTTAGAGGAAAATATGTGGTCTTTTCCACTTTCTATAACATAGTTTAATTAGCAAATTTCTTGCACATTTATTTTCCATTCAATAGACTAACTCTTAGAGCATCCCCTTTTAGTTCTTGGTGCTATACAAACATACAATAAGGGTGAATACCTGACAGAGGGTGGTCTAAAGAGGCAACAGAGAAAAAAAGTAGGACATAATATCTTCAGTTATAGCTGGGTATTAAGGCACAGAACAGCTAAGTCATTTGCTCAGGTCATGATTGGTGTGGATTAATGTTTCTTGGTCTGTTTTAGCTCTTAGTCCAGTGCTTTATACATTGGCATTATGTACAAATTGAAAAAAATTCTCTTTTTAGATTAATTTAGTATGATGAACAAGTGAGATTTAATTGTCAGATTTGGGACCAGAAGTATCATTATTACAAGATCATTTTTTTTTTCTATGGGCATGTTGTAATGGGACATAGTCATGAGCAGTCATATATTTGTCAGATATTCTCATAAAAGCTGCTTTTGTGATTAGCACAATTCTCCTTAAAGCAAGGAAAAGTATTTCAGCCACAGCTATTCTTTTCTAGGAAGCAGAACATTATAACGAATGTGTCTGTCCTATCCTCCTGTGAAAAATCAGTATGACATAAAACAGGGACATATAGTACCTATAAAAAAAAAACAGCAGTGCTTTTTAGAAAAAAGAAATTGTTACTTAGGTGGATTTTCAAAAGCATCTTATTAAGGCAAAAGAAAATTCAAGTAGCCAAAGCTATTTAAATATTCAAAACCAGTGTTCAGTCTCCTCTGAGTTATATAAGAGAGCCCACTAAGAGAATGAAAACACAATTTATCTGAGAAAACATTTTTTCTCTTTGCTATTTTTTCTCCTACTTTTTTCTTCTTTCCTATGTCTTTTTCAGTATTTCTGATACTGAGTTGAATGCTGATGAGTCAATACTTGAAATAAATATATATGACCAAGGTGAAATACTTGAAATTTGTCACCACCTCTGACTTTCCTGGCTGGAAGCTGAGAAATTTAGCAAGGTCTGCATTTTTTTGATGAATTATAAAAAGTCAAGGTCTCACTGCATGGCAGCACAGCCTTCAGGTGTGTCGGCCCCAGTTTCATAACATCAGCAAACTTGCTGAGGCTACATTCTATCTGTTTGTCTCTCTTGTGTAGTCACAAATTAAAAATAAAACCACCAAATCAGGAAAAAAAAAAAGTGTCTCTAAAATCATTACATTGGCAGTGGAGCCAGAAGCAGGTGAAATACCTTAAATGAGTTCCAACTTATATAATATCTTTTTCTTTACATCTGTGGTAGACAATTAAATAAATTAAGAACATGTGGGTGCAGACACGAACTTGTTTTCACGCATGGGTCATTAAAAAATTGAGGTCTGCCATAAGAAGCAAAAAATAATTTTGTGCTCTTTCAGGCTCTTTTCAATTATGCCCGTTATCAAGTTAGCAGGGAGGAAATCCAAGTTTGAAGGCTCTGAACTGGCTACTCATATTCATGAGGCAGATTTGGGAAGTATAACAGATCCTTTTATGTTTTGTTTCAGTGGTCAGGAAGAGTTAACCAGATGAAAGAAGGGTGTAATATATTTCAACAACTAAAATAGCAGTTGAAATGGGATGCTAAAAGTCTGTCTGATGGCTAACAGAAGGCAAGAGATAAAGGAAGAGGTTCAGTGCCTTTTCTGCAAAGAGAAGAGGATCAGATGAAGCAAGAAGCTGGAAAATTAAAAACAGGAGTGTGGACATATTTATTTTCATGATGGTCTGAACTAGTATGGCTGTCTTATATTAAAACCTATTTCAGCATAAAACACCCAAGCCCAGTTTCAACTTTTAAAGCATATCAGGAGGAAATATTTTCCAATAGGGTAAAGATCCTGTAAATCAAACAGAAGGACAACCATGTCCTGGCTGCATCCATGGCAGTGCAGCCAGGAGGGTGAGGGAGGGATTCTGCCCCTCTGCTCTGGTATGACCCCGTCAGGGTTCTGTGTCCAGCTCTGGGGTCCCCAGCACAGGAAGGACATGGACCTGTTGGAGTCCCAGGGAAGGACATGAAAATGGTCAGAGGGCTGGAGCACCTCTGCTGTGAGGAAAGGCTGAGAGTTGGTGTTGTTCAGCTTGGAGAAGAGAAGAAACAACAACAAAATCCCACAACAAAAGAGGTCTAGTTTACAATATTTGAGTAAATTTCAAATCTTCCACAAGATATTTCCTCCACAAAGGAATTCCGAATGCAGAAACTACATGTAAAACTGTTTTGTTTTGGGAAAAGGATTGAGAAAGTCATTGCTTCCTTTCATTAAACTGACATACCACATGGAAGAAATATTAAGATTAACTTAAAATCATATGTTATTCCTTATTCTCCTTTGACGATTTTGTGTCATTCACGTTTTTCTTTGAGGGAATTTTACTTATCTGAGTTTTTTGGATGCATAAACATCAAGTCTGATATTACTGCACTTTTAGCCCAAAAGACCTCTATTTTGTTTTAGGAAAATAACAAACTAAGAACTGCCAGCGCTGACTCTACTTAAAGTTCCCCTGATCCTTACAAGATCAGGATCAATGGATTTCGTCAATAGTTAATGACAGCTGACTACCATTAGGTTTGGATATAGAAATTAAAGCTTCCACTAGAGCAAGAAGCAGCTATTTCACTTGGTTAAGATGTAATATGTGATAGAACTGCACAAAAAAATACTGTTTAACTCCAGTTAAATATTTAGACATTCCTCTTGTTACTTCCATTTTACCTCATAAATACATTGCTGACAGCAAAACCCACTTCTCCTCGAAGTCAAGTGGAGGAGTGACTAAAATCTTTGGATTTTAGGGAAAAGGCAGGACCTAGTGTTACAGTTAGTGAGTTAAGAAGAGGCAGTAAGGAGAAAACTGGTGGGTCTGTCTCCCTGGGGCTGTTTTTTACTATGAACTTCTGCAGCCCACATGAATAGAAGTCACATGGAGAAATTCATATCTCTGTGGGGAGCCTCAGTCCAACTCTCCAACATGAGCCCTGACCACACTCTTCCAGCACATTTTCATATTATGTTTTGTTTAGAATAAATAAGCAAATTTTTGATTGATATATGTGTCATTTAAGTGTTTCCAAACCCTTTGATACACAGCAAAAAAAAAAAAAAAAAATTAGAACTACTGCTTGCATTTTGACAGGTTTCTGATTTTTCTGGCAGGCTGTGCTTCTCCCGTAAAAGAAGAGGTGTTTTAGAAGGACATCTCTTTATTTGTGACTCATTCTGCATAGTAGTATCTTCATTGACTTGAGGCTGATAAAATATTCTGTTTCCCTTTCATGACTCCAGGGCTTTTTTCCTTTTCAGAACTGGTTTGGGTTTGGGTTTTTTTTCTATAATACCATGAACCTGTGTTTTGTTGTTCGGATGGGTTTTTTTTACCTTGATGTGGGAACTGCTGTCTGTTCAACCACTCTGCCTCTTTTTACTCCTGCATTTTTGGATTGGAACCTTCAGTGCAATGCCATGGAGGGATGTCTGCTGTAGAACCTTACCTTGCCTTTTGTCTTTTCCTTATTTGCCTTGAGAGCATCAGAACTACCTGCATTTCCTAGGTATGAGATGTTGATGCAGACTAATCAGAGCAAATCTACAAATTATATTCTGGAGACTTCTCTGGACTTATTATCAATTGATTCTGATACCTGCTTTTTGTACTCAAACAAATCACTATCCTAATCCACTTATTTTGCACAAAATGCATCACGAAATGGCCTTACTGATGATTTTTAGTAGCCATTTAAATTCCTCTGAAACTATTTTATCACTTCAGTCTGAAATTACCGTTTTCAAATAATTTATCCTGTGAAAGTAATGATATATTTACCATAACTGGCTTGCTAAATAAGTGTTGAGTCCTCTATGATTAATGTGCTTATTCTTGTCAGCAGAATGAAGCTGTAGCCTATGCAAACATGTCAGACATACCATGGAGCAATTTCTAGAGCCTTCTGGAAATCCTTTTGGTGCAGTTCTGACCTGCTCAGAGAACTACATCTAGGTTTATCCTTTTTCCCATGCAAGTGATGATATTTGCAGTTCTAAGTTAGTGAATGTTGTGATTAGGGAATGTTCTCCAGGTTATTTTTCCTGCTAAAAACACACTGCCACTTGCAACTCCCCTCCAATGAGAAGAACAAACAGCAGAGATCAGGGGTAAAAAAGAACAATTTACTGGAAAAAGCAACGACAGAAGAAAACAAGCAATAACAGCAACAATATTAATAACAAAAGTATACAATAGAGAGAGTGATTCCCATGCAAAAATGCTCCCCGTGAGCCCTGAGACAATGAACAAATGGTGAACAGTTTCCAACCTTTTTCTCTATTGAAAGCCACACCTTTCTTCTCAGAAGCCAGACAGTCCCTTAGCTCCTGCCCTGGAAATGATGTGTGTTATGGAATAATCTCCTGGCCATGTACACACAAGTCTGGGCTGCACCAGATTACTGCAAAATAAACACCTGGAAGGAACCAGGACAGAGTATTGGCTTTGTGAGGCAATAGTTTGGTAACGGGGTCTCTTTGGCAATGGAGGGGACTACAAGAGTGGCTTCTGTGGGAGGTGTTGGAAGCTTCCCCCATGTATGACAAAGCCAATGCCAGCCAGCCAAGACAGAGCTGCTGCTGGCTGAGCCCATGGGTGCTGGTGGTAGCACCTCTGGGGTTACATATTTAATGAGGGGAAAAAAGTGCTTCAGCATTAACTGAAAGAGAGGACTGAGAATATGTGAGAGAAACCTGCAAACAATGATTCAGGGAAGAAGAAGGTGGAGAAGGGACCCCAGGCACCAGAGCAGAGATTTCCTGCAGCCTGTGGTGCAGAGCATGGTGAGGCAGCTGTGCCCCTGCAGCCCCTGAAGGTGCACACGAGCAGAGATCCACCTGTGCTCCATGGAGGACCCCATGCTGGAGCAGGTGGGGGCCTGAAGGAGACTGTGACCCTGTGAGAAGCTCATGCTGGAGCAGGCTCCTGGAAGGACCTGTGGCCCCATGGAGAGAGAAGCCCACGCTGGAGCGGATTTGCTGGCAGGACTTGTGACCCTGTGGGTGACACCTGCTGGAGCAGCCTGTGCCTGAAGGACTGCACCCCACAGAAGGGACTCTGCTGGAGCAGTTTGTGAAGCACTCTGGTGTGTGAGAAGGATTCATGTTGGAGAAGCTTGTGATGGACCATTCCTCTTGGAGGAACTTCATGCTGGAGCAGGGAAAAGATTGAGGAGTCCTGTGCCAGGTTCAATGGTCTCCTCAGGTTCCTTGTCTCTGCTACCAAGACTGGCCTTGGGTGTACACCATGGTTTTGGGACAAGGACTTTTGGAGGAGTACATTTGCTGAAAGGGACCAGCACACACACTGCTTGCTCTTCACAATGTCAGCCTGACTTCACCACAAGCACATCATAATTTGGACCAAAATTATGTGGAAATGTGACAAGGGAAAAAAGCCCAAGTATCATCCTGTTCTTTTTAAAGTTTTAAAGTTCTTTTAAAAGTTTTCTATGCTTTCTGATTTTTACATCTTTCTACTGGAGTTTCTAATGCATGTTCATGTAAATAATGATTGTTTTGCATTCTTCTTTGTGGGAGGAGAGAATTGATGGACTGTTGGTTTGACCAATGTGGTTGGAGAGGTGGCAATTTCATCTTCCAATCCACTGTCACTTTTGGAATTCTATATATTGTGAGGTCAGAAATAAAAGTTTCTTCCTTTTGCTCTTTTGATCTTAGTGTAAGTGCGAGAGTTATTTCATGTTGTAGTGCAACACCCAAGCATTTTGCTTATTTCATTACTACACACTCCCAGCAAAGGCGAAGAGTCACAGAAATTCAGATGTATGAAGGTTGCTGGCTCTGCTCCAGCTTTGAGCGTCTTTCAAACAGCAGCATGCCACAGCAGCACTGTGCCCAGTTACACTTCCACACAGAGTTCATCTTTATTTTGAATCCTTTTGGTAGCTCCCATAGATTTTAGCTACTGTTTGTCTGGTGTTCAAACAATGATTAAAAAAGAATACCTCCAGTTCTTGCTATAACTTCAATCATAAAAAGTCTTCATGTAAAGAAAAATGGCTGTTTCTTTTGTCTCAGAAAACTGAATGACACTTCCAGAAAGAGACACTGCCTTTTTCAAGCAGACTGATTCACTGTGAATGAGGAGAGCTTCCCAGCACTGCAGGGCCAAGTAAGATGTTCTTGATCTGCATCACCATCAGAACAGAGAGGGGAATTCTGACAGATAGCTGCTGCACTTTTATTTTTGAAAGGTAAGAGATGTTGTGCCTAAAACTATTTTATCTCTGTTCACATCCATTTCTGTCTCAATCTTGAATGTGCTGCCTCAAAGCCCCTGGATTTTTCAGTTCTGCTGTTGTGAAAATGCCTTGTGAAGCAAGATTAAAGCTTCTGGAACCTGCTGTCTTCAGCCTATATAAATTGCAGAGGACACAGCTTTCAATGTATTACAGGTATTTAGAAAATCCACAGAGCCTCCATGTGCCTTAGCTGTATGTATTTCAATATTTAACATAATTTCAGCTGTGATAAAATGATGTGGCCACTAATGCTGTGTTGTCAAGGAGATTATCTGACCTCTTTCAGATGGAGTTCACTATGTGGAAAGCAAAAAGTTCGGCATAAATGATTTTAAAAGAGCATCCATGCATAATCACTGATGCTGTACAAAAAGCAAGTATGCATTAATTCCTTCTTTCTATCTCCATGAAAATCAATTATCCTAGATGAAGTTTTACAGTTCCCAAACCGAATGGGGTTTGACCTCCTAGAGAAGATATCTGACAAATTCCTCTAGGTTTTTTATGACTGTCAGGGAGTAAAAGATGGGAAACAAATTATGACTGCAAATTATTTCAGTAGCAACATATGAAAATTTATGAGAATTATGTGTTATAAGAGCAGTCCAGTTAGAAAGTTCTCATGCCTAAGAATAACAGGACAGAAAGTCTTTCTTTGTGTTTTTGCAGTCATCTGATTTGATGTCTTCTTGAGTCAATGAGGAAAGCTCCCTCATTTTGAGTCCAGTCTGTGTAGAAAAAGGATCATGACCAAAAAGAATAATAAAGAGCCATTCAAGAAAAAAATGTCTTTAAAATCTGTAAAAAGAACAGGCTGTACATGCTCTCAGCATACCTTGTTCAATTTGAGGCTTTATAAGAAATTGTGGAAAGGACAGGTAAAATGAGGCTGCTTCTCCTGATGTATAAGGAAATGCAAAACCAGTTTGAGACACTGTGGATATTCTGATATATCTAGATTGCAAACAGTTGAAAAACAGGTGAAACAGGAAAACAAGGCTTAGAGACACAAGGCACAACCTCTGAAGCAGAGCCAGGCCTTCATTTTGAAAGAAAGTATTTCCCCTGGCATAATATGAAACTAATTGAAATAATTAGCAACCATAGTAAAGCTCTCCAACTGACACCCTCCAGCAGTCTCACTTTTCAAAGTCACTATTTTGTTACTTTATCAAGACTAAACATCTCCAATGGAACTGGACTTTATGGGCACTTGTCAACACAAAGGGCTGTGGCTGCATGTGCCCTTCTTGTGTAATGAAGCTGTGACAGGACATGCAATTCAAAATGCATTTCCTCAGTTACTCAGTATATGTAAAAATTGCCATCCTATAAAAGAACATGACTTAAAACTGTGGTGTCAAAGCTGGAATGCTGAACAAGAAATGTACCTGTACAACCTGCTGTGCTGGGCATAGATGCTGAGGTAAATGTCATCTTCTTTATGTGCTTTCCATCCACAGAACACACACAGTGTTCAAGTATCAGGGTGAATCACTGAATTAGTTTTCCACTTTTCTTTTGGCAATGCAGAAAAACAAAAAAAAAAAGCTTTTTTTAAAAAATTGAGCTTTGTTTTAAAGTGTAGATATTCAAAGATATTTGCAGTTCATAATTTCCAATGCTCTTTTTTTTCCCAACTAAAAATCATTTGCACAGGATTTGGGCCTGTAATTGACCCAGGCAAATGTGAGCACTGAATGGATGCAAAGTTAGATCGATTTGATCTGATTTAGTCTGTGTTATATTTTGCTTTTATGCAGTTTGGACACCTATTTGTAATGATAAAGCATCAAATAATAGTGAATACCAAATGACACCCAGTATGTGCTGACACAGACATGGAGATATGAAGAAACACTTTGTTCAGTGTGTATTATGAATACCCATTCTTATTTTCTGAATTCATCATGTTTCCAGACATCTTCTGATGCATATATACCAGACAAATAGCTTATTTGCTTTGAAACAGTTTATAAAGTGCCTGTTGCTAGGCTAGCTGTACCTTTTTCAGATATTTGTAAGGATGGAAGCTTCCTCCCTATTTGGTGTTTCAAAAGCAGTTAAAAAATGAGGACTCTTTTCCTCAGTGCACAAAGGGATGTGCACAGCATTGAAAATCACAAGCCTTAAAAATCACAAGCCTTAGAACATTTTTAAGTCTGACTTGCTGTATCTTCATTGCTACATGCAGCCAAGTACTGATCCAGCTGAATGTATATATTCAACCATCCTAATTTTTAAACTTAATTTTTAAATATCTGGGGCCTCAGAACCTTAGGTATTGATTTGATACTGCTTTTACATTCATTCTCTGTTTTACAGTGTTGGGATCCATGTGCTATGGTGCTGTTCCCTCCAAAGAGTTTATGACCCCTCCCCTGGACACCATTTCAACAAATGGTGTTTATACCATGTCTCTTCAAACTCAAGTGCAATGCTGTGTCTTGTGCAGCCATTTCAAGGTTCCCTACTACCTTGATGAGCCCACCTTGATGAGCTAGTTCCATCAAAAAGTATTACAGTGAACTGAAGGACTATATCTTTTTCCTTAATAACCACGGCAGTGGTGGAAAATGCAAAGGAAGATCAACAACTTCTATGGTTGCAAATGGCCATGGCAATTAACAAGCTGGTTGAAAAACTGAACATGTGGCAACATGGAAAAAAATACTATTTTAACCCATGCTAAAGAAAAAAAATGTTTTAGAACTTGTGTCTTTGTGTTGTCCAGTTTTGTGAGCACTAAGTGATTATACGATTCAGAAGAGCTGTTTGAAATTGGCTAAAAGAGCTTTGTTTCTTGGAGTGACATAAATATTTATGAAGACATAAATATATACAACTCACACTTTACCTCAACATTCTTGCTGCTGCTTCACCTCAAGGTTAGCTGTTCAAGCAATGAATGTTGGGGCCAAGAGTCACAAATTCTCACCTTCTTTTAGAAGCGCTTATTCTGAGACATATTTTGTCCTTGTTTAGTTTAAGCTCTGGGCTTGAACTCCTTGTTTATATGAACTATATTTCACATTTTGTGGTTTTGACATTCTTGTTGAATGTCATTTTCCATGGTTCTTGCATCTTCTCTGTGTGTGTGTGAACGGGGATATCACTTAACTGTCTTGCTAAGGTAGAATGTGGTTTTTAAAAATGACCAAGCCTTGTCACCAAGCTGCAACTTAACTGCTCTTAGCAATTACATAAAAAATTGGTGGGGGAGCCAGGGGAGGGGTGGGCACCTCTGGGCTGCACCCGTGGGACAGCTGAGGCTGTGTCCGGCACTGTCCCCGCCTGTGTCCAGCTTCCTTGTTTTATTCCACTCCCATTTTTCTCTCTGTCCTCAGGAACAGCATTAACCCTTTTAGACTCCACACATGAAGCAGCAATCTGCAGTGTGAAGCATCCCTTCTGTGGTATGTCATACCTTCTGAACCTGTTCTTGATGGTAGCTTTTTCTCAGTAAAGCCATTTATTCTCCCAAGATACTGGAAAACAGTAGGAAGTGCTGCTTACATGCTCTTATGACCTCATTGTCTTGGTCTGGAAAGACAGGTGACTGCTAAGGAAGACAGGAGCCTCTCCTGAAGTGGAAAATTTGAATTATTATAGATTTGAAATTATGGGGGGCTGTCAGGCAAAAATATGGAGCAGGAAAAACAGTTCTTTATTAGGAAAGAAAATAAAAAGATAAAATAAACAATGCAGTGAACCAAAACAACACTTACAGAGTCAGAATACAACCTGACACCCTGTTAGTCAGGGTGTTGGCAGCAGTCCAATTGGGAATTATGGCTGCAGTACTCCTGGAGGGTTAGGTGTGGTTCTGTTGGAGCAGTAATCCTGTAGAAAAGGGTGTAGTCTTCCTCTGAAGATGCAGTGGAAGAGGCAACTCTTCCTCTGGGAAATCCAGTGCAGAAAAAGCCATGCTGGTGTTCCAGAACTCAAGATTATATCCAGGTAGAAATGTTTGGCTCCTCCCTCAGGGCGGAGCATCTCACAGTGGGATGTTACAGTTCTTATCAGTCACTCAGTGACATTCAATAGCCCATTATCAGCAGATGTCTCCCCTGACAGAGGAGAGATAAGGAAAACTGCCCACTTAACAGAAGACAGCAGCCATACAGATGGCAAAGGGAATGCATCTTGCCTTGCAATCTGGGACTCTCACTGGTCAAACGTAAACAGTGTGCAAGTATTACCACCCTGTTTGTATTTATGGAGAGTTGACTTTAGTCTGTGGTTCTAACAAATTTTTCTGGTACCAGTTCATTACTAACACAAGACAGCTGAGTCTGGCAGTTCACCTTGAAGATAAAACCGAGAGGTAACAAGAAACTAATGAGGAGCAGCTCCACTGAACTCTGAAATCTCCATACGTTATAAAATTACTGGAATAGATGCTAGGGATTGCACTGATGCTCATTCATTTCAGTGACTGAGCTCTGGTTCAGCCCTTCTTCACTTTCTGTCCCATTTGAAATGTTTGGCTGCCCTGGATTTACCTCCCGCGTTGATGGGTTTAAGCTACACCTGAGCCACTAACACCCCACTGTGCAACTGATCACTTTGGGAATAAAGGTAGAGCACTGTAGTCAGCTAAACCTCCACAGGGGGTGATACCAGGCTGAAGTCAGCTCAGCAGGTATTTTTGCCAGCTGTTTTCACTGACTTTAGCTTTGCAACCGAAGAGGTGAGAACCGCATGTGCCTGTTACAGCTCCCACCGTGTCACATCAGGGGCTGATGGAGTGGGTGTGGGGTGAAACCACGACAGACTTCTCCCGTTCTGCTCCAGCCTGCTGAGCTGAGAGCAGCTGCAGGAGAGGGAGAGTTCTCCAGCTGTGAACCTGTCTCTGACAATGCAGCCTCTGATCCTGCCTGCTAAGGTAATTATGAAACATGCCCACAAAATGTAACAGGCCTATGGAGATAAGGGCAAGGGGGAAAACCTCATGGAATTCTGTGTTGTAGCACACACAGCCATAAAGGGGTTTATGGGGAGAGAAGGATAAGAGAAGGGGGGAGCAGAGGGAAAGAGCTGTGTGTGCTAGGAAATTGTCTTTCAAGCTATACTATCCATTAACAAAAACATGGTTTTACAGTCTGGTAAATTAATGCATCAACTCTTAATTATTAATTCCATAATAATCTGTAGAAATATATCCAATTAATCAAAAAACTTTGGTCTTGCATTCTCCTAATGAAGATATTTCCTTTGCATAAAAGACATTATTATAGCCATGGTGTAATACAATTAATTAAAGCTATTTTCATATGTTAGCTACATGTTCACTGCTCATTCCCAATACAATTACAGCAGAAGTGAATGAAGTCCAAAAGGACCAAACTTGCCATTTTTTGCCCTGCTGCATTCTAAGCAATAAAAGATTAAAAGTGAACAAAATCAAACCTCCAGGAAGGAAAGAGCAATTTTTTGCCTTTATCCCACAGAGTTACTGCTTGAGTAGGTTTTGATTCAAACCTATGTGCTCATCTCTAATTAATAACTTCAGTCATTTTTTTCCTCTGATCCTCTGATATCATTGTGGTGGTTTTAATTAGCTGTTTCACACAGATAAGTCACTGCATTGCCCTTAAGATTGCACATCTAATCAATTTTATCAAACCTACAATTACAAAAGCGAGGGAGCAATTGTCAGAGCAACAGAAAAAAGTAGCTGTCTCTTTACAGAAATTCATCTTTTGGTTAAACTCTCTGGTATCTAATGAGCCATGAATTCTGATCCAAGTTTCTCCTATGTTTTATGGTATATGTAATGGTTTTTTCCTGTATTTTTTTCCTAAAGCCCTTGTTCTCAACTTACTCCATTCCAGACACATCTGAAACCTTCTGTCCTTTATGTACGTACTGGTAATATTTGCCAGGCTTAATTTATTTGAGATTGATAGTCTGTCTGTCAAATGTGTGAGAAGTCCATTAAAGCCTCTGAGAACTACTCAGGTTGAACAAAGGAACAGAAGAGGCACAAGCCTCGCTCCTTTCTCATACCAGTATGAAAATCAGCCAGCTAGATTCTGATTTGGTACGGACCCAAGAGAAGGCATTCCTGCATCTTTTGCCATGGATTCATCCTAATTCTAACAACCACTCACTCACTGGTTCTACTCTACTGAATTTCCAATTCTACTGTTTGCTCTACTTTTAAATCTAAATGGGTAAATGATTTTGAGATTCACTGTTACCATTAAAGAGCAAACATGCCCAGAAAGATTAGCTGAAGTGAAATAAAAACAGCCGTTTTCAAAACTTTTATGAAGCTCAGATGTTATGAACAAATAGATTTACATTTTCGACTGTGGAACATGATTCTTTTCTGAATTACTAAAATTTTTTCAACATTATGAAATTACAATATGCAACTGCTGATGTTTTTTTTCTTCCCAACAAAAGTACTTTATTAGGTTGAAAAAAAAATTGGAACCAGTCATCCTGGTTCTATTTGTTTCTACACTAAACATTCCTAGAGATCACTTTACTCAGCCATAGCAGTAGTTCTGTGTTCTTCCAGCAATGCCTCCATTTACTGATGGAAGTGGTGTGTCCAAGGAATTGGGGTATAAACCAATTTTCCACTGCCTTTGTAGAATAAATCACACAACATGGAGCCAAGGATGTACAACAGCATATTGTATTCTTATGTTTGAACAAACAGCTTTCAGCCTGCCCCAGGTTGTACTCAAACAACCAGCCACCATAACCAGCCATCTCAGACTGACAGAAACCTTCCCTAAGACTTTTTGCCATGCTCCAGTAAAGTCACTGCTGGGATAACAACTCCCATCTTCCACATGGGGATCTCACATCTGCTGCCATGGATATAGGGATCAACAGCGAATAGCTGAGCACACCTGGTTAGTCAGACACCGGAGGCTTCCATGCTGCTTGGTGTTATTCAGCTTTTCATTGCTGGTTAGGGAGAAGTAACCAAGCTGTACATCAATTAGAGGTCTGGGCCCAGAAGGCTCAAACTGATCTGATGTTCTCCTCCATGCTTGGAGAGCTATGGTGGGGCTATTGGACTGCGCCTGGTCAGGACTCATCCTAATAATGCATGAGCTAAGAGTTGCTGTCCCTGACACTCCTTTTCTATTACTTTTTTTCTAAGATTTTGTTGAGTTATTAATTCATCAAGGAAAAAAGTGCTTAGCTGTCAATTGCTTTGCAAACCAAGTGAGCCAACCTCCATCTCAGCTCCCAAATTATCATGCTGAACCCACTGAAAATCTCATTACACGTATGCCAAATTGCCTGTTGGTGATCAAGGTACTCAGGTGAGATGAGTAATTTTCACAGCTAGGAAGAATTTGCAATAACATTATCAAAAATATAGTATCTTAATGAGTGAATTAATATCCTTGTGTTGCTTTTTTTTCTAAGTATAAAAAGGTGGCATTGTGATGAACTATGACAAACCTTTCTACTACAAATTTAAATGAATATCCTGAAATTCTGTCCTATCATTCATTACTTTATCCCCTAGAACAATAGACAAGCAACTACATTCTTTATGAAAAAGCTCTGTTTAAGGTCATGGTAGAATTCGTATTTATTCTCCTGTCTTGAGGCTCTCTAGAGACACAAACAGATGAGAGAAAATTGGTTTTACATAGGAACTAGGAAGTTCTGTCCTTCAAGTAGAACTATGGGATCTGTGAGACCTAAAACTCATAACCACCAAAGACAAGAGC